AGCTGTAGCTGATTAGCAGAAGAAGACCCCAGTCCTTTCTGAATTCCTGGGATAGAAAACCAGAAAGTCTAAGGGATTTGTGTGGCACTCCAGCTAGAGGTTCTTATAACCAATCGTTTAAAAACAAAGCATAACCAAGGAACACTTTCTTCTTTTCCCTTCTCCCTTCCCCAAAAGCGATGAACGCGTTTCTGTTCCCTTTTTGTAAGCAACAGCTATTTCTTGAAATTCTAATTCTGTGAAGTTGACAGGTTAAAGAGAGCAGTAGTGAAGGACATGGATGCTTGCAGAGCCTTCTATCTTCAAGTCTGCTTTTCAAACTGCTGTTCAGTGGAGGGTTTTGGTAATAAGCAAGCAGATCCATAATGTACTGCTGATCCTTGCACATTTGGCATAACTAAAGAAGATCAGAGGTAGCCTATATAAGGCTGCAGAGCAACGCTCACTGTGTTCCAGGGATAATGGAGTCAAGGTCTGTGATGGGGATTTTTTCAGATTGCGTGGTCCTCTGACACTAAATCTTCTGAGATGCCCAAGTTGAAGAAATCAGAGACAGCTTGAACCAACACAAATTCTTGGCTCACATTTTTTTTTTTCTCCTACGTATATTTATAACAACTTCTGGGATGGCAAAGGGGGTGAGGCTAACCAGTCCTTTCTCAAGCCCATTGATGAAGAGTTTGTTGGTTTTAGCAAATGAAACACCGCTTATTCCTTTCTATTCTCATCGTCAGCACTAGGCAAATGAAAGGCCTGCTTCTGATGGAGACTAAACAGCAGATGCAGCAAGAGCTGATAATTTCAGTATAGGAAATGTAAATTGCTAAGTCCAGTTGGAAAAGCAGATCCTGTACTCCAGAAGATCCTGTGGAAGTCAGTCCAAGCTAGGTGTCTGTGACTACTCTTTGAGCTGAAGCTTGCAAGTGATGCAAATGGGAGGTTGCAGAGCAGCAAGGAGGTGAAGCGTGCTGGATAGCTGCTGCTGGCTGGCCATGAGCCTGGCATTGAGCATTATGCAGCACTAAGCTGGAGCTGTGCCAGGCCTGGTGTTCTGAATGGAGTGAAGAGCATAGCTGCGCTTCCAAAGTCTATGCTTAAGGGCTCTTGTTTCAGTGGCCAGGTCACTACCTGGACCACAGCATGCAGATGAACCACAGAAATGAAACATCTACCTGGCTTTGGGCTGCTCAACACAGACTAACCTGTGGCTAGAGGCTGCTGGAGGCAATTAATGCCTAATGAAAATGTCCAGAGTGAACTTTTCAAAGTCCAAAGAAAGACAGCTCATGAGTCTTTGCAGGCATGCAAGACTCCGTTAGTGCGAGAACAGAAGGAGGACAAATTGTCATAAAGGCAATGATCAAAGAGCTCTCTCAAGTTAATAAGGATTGTGGAGCTGTGGATGACTAAGGAGAACATTAGGGGCCAGAAACTGAGAGGCTGATACATACATACTACACCAAAAACAGCTTGCAAGAAGTTTTATGGGTATGATATGGCAAGGACTAAAAGGACAGAGTACTGCCAAACAGAAAGCTGGGAGGAGGAGGAGAGCAGCTACCCTATTCTTTAAACCAAACATAGGCAGACGTGAGCCAGAATTCCCCAGTGTTGAAGTGTTTGTCTTTCGAATCTAAAGTATTTTGTTCCTTTTGATGCATGTATTCTCATCTGGGTGGAGGTCAGGATAAAAAAAAAAGACAATACAGGATTTTTGGGGACCTGATATTAAAAGGAGCAGTTAAAAATAAGAGAACATAAGGGAGTAAGGGAAAAACTGGAGCAAACTGATTAGCTCCAGATACCCTTAAGAAGGAACAGTGGTATTTAACATAGATGGATGAAAACATGGGAGACATCACAGTTTCCCCTCTGTACTAAGAGGAAACTCTTAAATTTGTCTATAACCACTGGAAAATTGCATGGATCCTCACAGACACAGAACCAAACCTCTCCTAGTGTAAGAGGGGAAGCAGTCAGAGACTGTTGTTGGGCGTCTGGGAAAGTTGGGCTCTTTCTGCCTTTATTTCCCAACTCTTACAGCTAGATCTCTTCACTCAGACTGTTTTACACAGGACTATCAGGAAAGCCTGATTAGGCAGGGAGGGAAGATGCTGTGCTGGTACTGGATAGCCTCCTGAGGTCCCTTCCACCTGTGTTATTTTAGTTCTTAGGACATTGAAAATTGTAATGGAAGGAGGACTGGCGTTACTAGCAAATGATCATGTTTCACTTCCTCACAAACCTGAGATTTGTCTTCTGGTGGAAAAACTGGAGAATGCGATGTTTAAAAGCAGACAAATTACAGAATTCTCTGTTTTAATGCTTCCAGTGCCAAGGTGGAGAAGTTGGAGCTGACAATTACCGGAGTGTAATGTCGTATCAAAAGGCAACATGTACTTGTGCTGAGTCTATGTATCAGCAGCGTACACAGCACCTCATCTACAAGAGCAGAGCAGACTTCTTGAGCTCAGCTGATAAAACCATCTGTGCTGCTGCCCATTCCATGATTCAGTTAGCCCTACAGCTCCAGGGAAAACCAGCCACAGGGGCACAAGGTCACCTCTTGGAGAACAGTCAGCAGCAGGTGAAGATGAGCAGGAAATAGCACGGTATGGAGCTGGAAGAACCGTGGGGGACCACAGCACGGTTTCTGTAAGACAGACAGCCAAGAGGCACGGAGCTACGGGTCGTGTACACCCGCAGAAAGTGTTGTCAGCTGCCTTTCTTCACTTATGACCCTAGAGCATCATGACTGTTACATCACTATGCACTACTAAGTACTGTGGAAGAGTACCTTCCAGGAGCGTATGAGGATTTGCCCAATTACCTCTAGAGCAGCCCCACCCCCACATCACTGTCATCTTCTGACTTCCAAAGCTATTACAAGCCTAATGAAGATGAGATTGTGAGATGGTCACCAAGGTGCTTACCACAGTTAACCTTATCAGGAGTGAGGAAGTTTTTAAATTACTCTCCAACTCTTAAACAGATCCCAGATACCGATAATCTGGCATGAGTTGCAATACATTCAAGGAAGTTTTAGACATAGGAAGTTTTTCTTCTGCATTAACTGCATACAGAACCACACTTTTGTTTCAAGCTGATGTCATTTCCACAACTAGAAAGTTAAAACATTTCATTTAGTATCTCCAAAGTTACACTACTTACGTAGTTTTTCGCCATCTTTCCAACAACAAAAGGTAACTCTCTATCCCGTATGCCAAGTCTTTTATTTGGAAATGGAATGCATAAAACAATGACTTGAACAGGAAAGTCTCGCTCATTTTAAAGTCTCAAAATGTTCTAATTTTATATCCTTTGTGACTACTGTATACAGCATTATGAGGTCATTGTCATCAGAAACGCAAGACAGAAGACCAATCAACTCACAGTATGTAAAGGTGCAAGAGTGATTTTTCCACAGCTACATACAAAAGTCAATGATTAAACATGAGAAATACCCAAATATGGTGTTCCGGACTTTCAGTGCTATGCTAGAACCACCAAGAACTTGATTGTTTTGAAATGGCACAAAAAGGGAATCTGCTATACGTGTTATTTATGTCAGGAAGAATTTTCACACACTTACATTTAACTATTATCATGAAATAGAAGTCCCAAATTAGTTGCCTAACAGCAAAGAGCTCCTTCCAAACAAATCCAAAACAGGTACAAGATACAGCAAATGCAACTCTGGTTTTGCATAGACTTATTTATGAAAGTTTAATGCTAAAATCAACAGTCTTCCTCAGTTCCAGTTAACAGTGTAAAGAGACCCTAAGATGAACATCAGTTAAATATTCACTTCAAGACTCCTTTCCATTGCCAGGAGCATGTAAGGAGGAGTACAGTATTAAAAACCCTATAGTTTGTGACAAAAGAAGTTAGGCACGTTTCAGTGTCTTTTTGAGACCCAAGTATTTCTACGTTCAGATTTCCGCAGTATTAGAACTGGATAAAATCCATTTCATAAAGTAGTTACAGACTATAGGAGTAGATCTGTGTTCTTCAAGGTTATTTAACTAGTATTTTCAACCAGTGACGAACTGAAGTCAAATACCCTTGCACAAACAGCATGCAATTTAATAATGAAACTTAAAAATCATTAGAGTTAATTTGCAAGCTTACTGACCATATTGGAAACTAGAATCCTGCCTTTTGGATTTTTTAAATTGTGTTTTATTTGCTGCTGAAAGGAATGCACTCTATATTCCACTTCCTAAGAAACTTGCTTTTAAAAAATCTAGAACCATGTTTTCTAGATATGGCTGTGAAGTTTGAATTTTGATAGAATAATTCAACTTGGTTATTTGTACTGATCTGAAAGAAACAGATCAAAATACCTCCCTTAATGAACTGTTCCCATGGAATATGCATTTTAAATTGCATGAAAGGAAGATATCTGTTCTTCACCAGGCTGTTTTTTTTCCCCTCTGTATCCAGGTAGTTTGCTGAACCTGCACGGTATTTTAGCAAAATTATTCCACTTTAATGATGCGTGTTTCATCTTAGAAATAGAATGGGGCAGGGAGGGAGAAGGGAAAGACCAAGGAGTTATTCCCTTTGAAACACAAGAGAATTGGCCCACTACATCACTGGGGTACCACATGATGAAGAATTTAAGACATGTTAAGAGACTTTCCTAGCAGGTAACAATGATTTGCATTATATGAATGTCTGCTATGTGAAGAAATCAGGTTTGTCAACAATGTAGAAGGATTTATATAAACTTGGATACATATTGAAAGAAATCATGTTACAGTTTTTTCACATCTTCATTCAGTTTAAGACAATTGAAACCCTCTGCCATGTTGTGGGCTAAGAATGTGGCAGAATTTTCATTTTAACCACCCCATCTCTCTCATCCTATTTCCAACAGTTTTTTTTTTTAAGCTAGGAACTTAAATGCCCACATACAACTAACGACTGTAATCGTGATTTCTAGAATTTCCATTATGTCCATTATTGAACAAGAACAATCTGCAATTAGCGTATAATCCAATATTATAAATTTTATTTTTGACAGCCTCCAGTTTGGCAATAATGCTCAATTCTGTTGTAACACACTGGTTCGTTTTTCACTTTTCATAGCCTAGTGGCACAGGCACCACACTTCCAGTTAGTCAGTTGTCTTAAAAACGTAGATTTGGATATTAATTACAATGGTCAGCACACTTTGGTTTTCACTGAAGAGAAGTTTAAATGCAGGAAGTTTACTTAATGACATCTGGCAGACTGTGGACCTTGTGAGGACAAAAGAGGATCTTGAAATAGGAGGATATCAAAACTAGATTTTGGCAATATAGAAGATGCATTGTCCATGTAGTTCTGTCATAAGCTTTAAAAATACTCTTATTAAATAAGTTTTTCCTTCCTTAAGACCAGATAATACATGAAGCTAGTAAGAGTCCAGGGGTCAGAATCTTCTTCAATTCTTAGTTATTCTCTATGAGCTTTTTTTTTTGGCTTTTCTTCGTAAGATTCTCCATACTCATTCACTCTGCTCTTATCCACAGGATAAAGCCTGGCAGAAAAAACAAATTATTAGTTACAATATTGTGTGCTACCTGGAGGAATTAAGCAGTTATGTGCTACTTAAAAAGTGAAATTTCTTTCTCATCACATTTGTGGCAAAGTATATGAGAGTTTTAAAGATTAGCTACAGGTACATCAGCTTCTTCACATTAAGACTTAACCAGCTGTCTTGTAACAGGGCCTCTTAAGAGATCTATTAGGTCCCCTAAGGCTTGGCTGAGAGCATTTCTCAAGCAATTGCAGGATGCCTTTTAAACTTGAAACCAGCATCCAGCCTCTATCAGAAGCTGTTGAGCTCTTAAGTTCCGGAAAAATACCTTGGAAGGGGACCTATATTACTGCACTTATGTGCGATTATATAAACTTAGAACTGAAGTTCACATTTAGTATTAATGATTAGACATACACATCCATATATTCTGGTATAATGTGAGCTAGGCTTAAAATTCTTGTTTGTTCCACATCTAAATATTAATTCTCAGGAACAAGAATACACTTTCTGTAGCTTCACTTATGAACGATATTTCAATGATTATTGCATATAGCCTTCTCCCCCATCTGATTTTAGTTGAAGAATCTGAGACTTGTTAGATTCTCAACTTACAAGAGAACTCAATAACTTGTGTTTGGAAACTAGATAAAGAGGAAAGCCAAGCAGGGAAATCCGTCATCAGAAAACAACTTTCCCTAGTGCCTTGCAGGGTAATGGGGAAAGCACACCTCAGATACCGAGCATATGTAGGCATGTAGCCCCCCAGCAAGTGTTAGAAGCCCAGAACTCCTAAGAGGGTTTGTGAATACAAGCTTAAGAATTGCTCTCCTTCGTCTTACTTCAGGTAGCCATCATGTTTCAGGTTAATATTTTTTGGTATTCGCATTTACAAATGTGAAACTATCTGCTGAAAGGAAGACTGCTGTTTTGGGGAGGGAGAAGGGGTAACTGACAAAAATTCCGAGTGCTGTGAGAAGAGGAATTTCTTGACTACTCTCAGCATGCTAAAAAGGGTCCAAGAATACTGTCAGTTACAGGAAAGCACTTTTGCTCCTCATCTTTGTATTGAGATCTCCTTTTCAGGATTCCCTGCTCAACATTCCCTTCACTAGGCATACACACAACTATCATTATCCCAACTGTACTATATATTACTATGGTATAAAAATTCTGCTCGAAGTCTGTCCCAGACTATTTCATAGTTCTTTATAGCAACAAGACTGCCAGCATCTACAGCGCTGTAAAAACTCTGATGAATATCAAAGAAAGGCATACCTACCATCTTTGGTAGAGATAGACCAGGAACACGACATCATCTCTAAAGCACGCCAGCCTGTGAGATGTTGGCATAGTGATGATAAAAGCAAATATATCATCAATAAAAGTGTTGAATGCCTACAAAGAAAAGAAAAGCATACTTCAGTTGGCTGTGAAGAAAGGAAGTCATCTGTCATACACAGCTACAGGAAACAGGCTTCCTAGAACTGTATTTTTCAGTAGGAACACAGACTACTGGTATATTTATAACAATACTTAAGGGTTATGCTGAAAAACTAATTAATGCAAACTTTAAAGTGCTTTATTTTAATTAAGACCATACGGTCTACTTCAAACAACACAATTATAGTTACAAGTAAAAAGGAAGTAGGACAACTTCAAGTAAGCAGGAGTGTTGCCATGCAAGAGGGAAAACATGCATTCAACCTCAGTCAAATCTTTAAAAGAAACTGGCAAAACTTTTATGCATTCATTACTCAAATGATTTAAGATTTACAAAATGTCAGTTCACCTTCATTTTCTGTGGAAATTTGAAATTTGTGTAAAAACTTGTTAATTTATTGCTCTTAAGAATGTTTACATGATGAAGCAAAGCATCAGCATAAGATGGGGGTGTTGGACAGGAGAGAGTTCTGAATATTTACAACCGGAAAACTCCTTCTGGCAAGTCAAAACAAATCCATCAATCTGAAGTGATCAAAGAATATGGATGGCACCGCTCAAGCCTGTGCAAAGAAGGTTTGTCATGAAACAAGAAAAAAAAACTTGGCAAGTTGGAAGAGGCAGCCTTTCCAAGTCAACACCCAAATGAGTGATCCTACAGCGATGAAAGTAAGAAAAAGCTGAATGCTCCATCCTTCAGGCACTCCAGCAGTCCTCGTACGTCACTGGAACGGAGTGCATCAAGGCAGCCCATCTAACAGTATTTAGCCTAGAGAGTTTTCTTTTGAGATGACCTCATTTGAAGGTACTTCTCATGAAAGTATAAAGCGTCCAAACATAAAGACTACAGAAACTGTAAAGTTAGACTGATCTCCATTTTTGCCAAGTCTTCCAAAATAGGAAAGAGTTGAAATTAAGGAAAAAAACTGTTGTGGTTTAGCCCGGCTGGCAACTAAACTCCATCACAGCCGCTCACTCACCCTCCCCCACCCCCAGGGAATGGGGAAAAGAATTAAAGGGGAAAAGGGAAGAAGACTCGTGGGTTGAGATAAGAACAATTTAATAATAACAATACTACAATAAATAAAATTAAAAGTAACAATGATAAAATAATAATAATATATGAATATACACACGCAAACATATAATGATAAAAATATATACAAACAAGTGATGCACAGTGTAATTGCTCAGCACCTGGTGACCAAGGCCTGGCCTGTCCTGTCAAATGATTCCAAAACAGGTATGTCCCAACACTGCAATCCCGGATGAGCAAGAGGCCCGAAAACAGAGTGAGATAGAGCGAGCACTCCGAGCCCTCAGAAGAGAATCCTCAGAAGAGCCAGAAGCTCTTCCTCCTGGTCAACCCTCCTTTATGTACTGGGCATGACACTCCATGATACGGAATACTCCTTTGGCCCATTTGGCCCTCAATCCTAGGTCTGAGTTCAAATCATAAGGAGAGATGTGGGCCCTTTGTCCTGGCCATGTTCCCCCCAGCCTGTTGTGCTCCTGGACACTGGCAAAAACACAGGAAGCTGAAAAGTCTTTGAGACCTCAGTATCTACTATAAACATCATTGCGCTATCAACACTCTTCTCAACAAATCCCATACTAAATCCAGAACACAGAGCTCTTCTAGCTGCTAAAAAGAAAAACTAACTCTGTCCCAGTTAAAACCAGGACAAGAACAAAGATCTCTAAAACAACAATTGTGGATGAGACCTCAGACTATTCTTTCCACTCTTCAAAGTGCAGAAGAGAGCAAGGAACTTTAAACATCCACTAGGAGAAAGGAAATTACCCCCTCCAAAGACCAGTGAGTTAAATATAATTGAAAACATCACATACTTCTTTCTACAGACACACAAGCCTTTGCTGTGGGTAGCCTCTGGCATCTTAACAGGAACCATAAAGGCTCTGTAAGAAAAGGCTGTTCAGGAAGGGAATTCTACTGCTTGAATACTGTCTCGTTGTTGTCTATTCAACTGCTGATGTCTCTGCTCAGTTACTGTATTTTGTCACTGAAGTAAAATTGTTAAATTACTTCACTAATATACCTTTTACTCCTCTCTCTTAAGAAGCAAGCTGATTTGCCTAGTATGTGCCTGAAATACTGGATGTTTATTTTTATTTTTTGACTCTATTTCTGTATCAAACACTGCTTAGTTGCTATTCTGCTATCAGCTATATTTCAATGTTTTCCTAGATGCCCCAGGATTCCTTAAAAATATTAAGCAGCAGAAAGCTGGACTATTGCTGTAGGCTTACAGAAATGGAAAAGCTATGAAAGGCACTTCAAATTTTAAGACTTTCGTTCTTTTGTCCCAGATCACCTGTTCAGAATTGGACACTGTGTCTTCAGCAGTTTCAACACTGTTTCTTTTAAAGTACTGATGTTCTGAAGAATTGTGATACATTGGCACACAGGAAGAATAAATGAAAGCATTTATGAGTGGAAGCAGAAGAAAACACGGGACATGTTGATGGCCTCAAGGTCTTGATGATCCCAGCACATCTATATGAGGTTTTTCTCAGGACACAATGGTCAGGAAAGCAAATGACAGCACAAAAATCCTGATGACTCACAGGTGGGAAAGGATTGAGTCAAAATACTATCAGCTCTTTACGGCTACAAGATCAAAACTAGCATGTAGCTGTTGATTGAGGAACAATGTAGGAGACATAGGAACTCAACAGTGGGTGTCCCTTGTCCTCCATACCAGCAGCACAAGGAATCCTGACTGGGGTACTCAGGTACATCCATCTTGGTGCCTGCATATTACACAATCCACCCAGACACACATGTGGGTGCTTGTGGGTATGCAGGTACCAAAATGTTACTGGGTTGACTTTGTTTTGAAATAAACTCACCTTCCCCTCCTCCAAGGTCTGGTGTTAAGCTGTGCTACAGCTTCGCGTTATTTCCTACAGGGGCAGTCCAGGCAGTGGGGACACCACAGTGCAGCCCCTTTTCCACTGAGTAACAACCCACCACACAGTTGTCACTACACTGCCCAGAAGCTCAGAATTACCACCCAAGGACAGAACAGTGTATACATTACTTCGCTCTCTGGTAGCTCCTGGAATCTGCCAAAATAAGGTCTTTTAGTGGTCCTATCTCTTTCTTGAGAACTATCCTTTGTTAATATCATCTCTCTCTCCTAAAATAATGTATTAATTTGAGACTGAGTAGTTTATTTGCAGCACCAACATCTGCACTCCTGCAAGACAGACGGCACTAGAAAAAACAATATTATCATCAAAACTAGGATGTAGGTATTCTCATTATATGGAAGTCATTATGAAAAATGGAAATTGATGTTACTATTTTTTCTTTTTTTTTTTAAGACATTTGCAAACAAATTTGGTTTTACTGTCAGTTCTTAAAACAAACAAAGCAGTGTCAGCCATAAGCTACATAATACTAAGCTGTTTCTCACAGAAAATTATTTCCAAAATGACTGCATCAATGTTTAAATTAGAGCTTTACTTACTTTGTATGTGAAAGCCTTCCACGGTAAGTGTGCAACAGATTTCATCTAGGATTAAAAATACCAATTTGTAATAAATTCTGGAAGAAGAGACTAAAAAAGTAGTCTTTTATCACTTTTTAATCCTACCTTGTAGTTCACAAACAGCTGGGGCAGCATAAACAGGAATCCGAAAGCATACACTCCTGAAGATAAAAGAAGGAAAACTCACAGACAAATGCACAATAGAAGTACACCACACAACTACACTTTCACAATCAGAGATTTACATTCCTTTTCCTAAAGAGAGAAGATGCATTTAATCCTTTTGTTTCACTTTGGGTTGATTATTTTCCCTTTCTCAATCACTGTGATAATGTTGGAATCTACCGTCAAGTTATTGCTCTGTATTACAGTGATCCAGCTGATAGTAGTTAATCTTCTACCTTTGAGTCTTGGCCTCCATTTGAAGGAATATGAATAGAAAAAAAACATAAGAAGGGACTCACCATTGACAAAGCTGTTAATCAACCAGGAATACCAGCTACAAAGGAAGAAGACAGTCCAGTTATTTTTCCTCCCCAGCCAAAAATACGTACCTGTAATACACCCTCCACAGGTCTGTATGCTGACTACTCCAAGAAACGGCTATGTTGTGAATTGCTTCACACAAGAACTAAATACCTCACATCTTTCTCTGATTAGGAAGGGCTCCGGAGAAGGTGCTAACAGTTTAAGCAAAGCATGTTTATGTCAGCGTATCCAACAAGTTTGGAGAGCTTTATCAACTGATTTTATAGTATTTCAGAATGTTCTAAGACTTCTGCACCCAAAATGACATCAGATAATACTGCACACCAAACCCTGACTGTATTAAGGCTCCCAAAGCTAACACTGTGTTCTAAATACTAATGAGATACTTAACATGGCACTGTAAGGACTTACCAAATTTCAAACAACAGACACCATTCAGTGCAAACCACCAGAGTAGGCACTTAAAAACGTAAATAACAAGGAATCTACATTTTTCCCTTTGTACATCTAAAAACCCTTCCTAGATGTTCACTGGAGCACAATCTCAGCAACATAATAGTAGCGTTACAGATAGTGGTCAAATTGCATACTTCTGCTAGCGACAGTAAGAACAGCTAGTAATTGTGATGCTCAGGTTCTATCATTTGAAATTAAACTTGCAAGGCTGTGTTAGTGACTTGTTAACAGCAACGTTACAGCTGTAGCAGCATTTCACTAATCCACAAGCATCTAAAAAATGCATCAGAAAATGCCTGCGAGATTAAAGGATAATCCACTGTTAAGATTACTTGTTTCATCACATTTCCTTACAAATAGATTTAACAATGATAAAAATCCTATGATATCAATTGTTTTCACTTTCTTAAGCTACAGCTCATAGAACACCTGGCATAGAATATTTTTCAGTACTGCATGAACTTAAGAATTTTGTCAGAAAAGCAGAATTTTTAAGCGCCGCATATTTTGTAGCTCTTTACTAAGACAAGAACCTTTTGACAAAAATATTTTTCTAGTAGCCCAGAAATTGCCTGTTTGTAGTACAAGTGCTACAGCCCGCATACGCAGCAACAGTGGTTCTTCCTGATGTTATTTTAAGCTACTGCTTCCTCTCCCTCCCATCTCTTCGGGGCCTAAAGACTATTAAAAAATACGTCTATGTGGCCATCACCACGCTTTCTACGATGCAGTCTCATGGCTGCATACTTGCTTGCAACTCTTCAATAAAAAATGAACTAGCTGCATTATTTTGAGTGAAAGTGGACAGGGGTTTCATCTTTTCACGAAATACTGAGTTTTCAGCTCTTGCTGAAGAATCACTATGTTGCAGTCCATGGCTCTAAAGGAATACAGAGTCCTATCTTAAAAACACTTTTGCTTGCTTGCCATCCTAGCTCTCATATTTAGGAACAGAACGACCTCTTGGTCAGAGCAAATAATTTTGGAACAGTTTTTGCTTCTCTCTGTTATTGGACAGGTTTAACCACTGAACTTATCTCTCCTGTCATCTTATCAGTTCTGTGAACATCAGCGGCAGCTTTCCTCCTCTTCTGATTCACAGGTACTTGTTTATGTAAGCTATTGAATTCTGTACTACAGTAATATCAGGTTACTTGCTAAATACAACAGCTTGTAGCTTACAGGATGTTAAAAAAAACAGCTAGACTTTTCAGCTTTAGATCAAACAGAACAAGGAAGTTTCCGGTTCCTAGCTCATGAACCAAGCAAAAGAAACTAACTGACTCTCATAACTCATAATCTCCAATTAATTAATACAGGAAAAATGAGGAATGTTTCAATTCCGTATAAGATTGATGGTACCTTTTGTACTTGACGTTCAGCAAGGAGTAACCTGCACCTCCAATACACAGTGGATAGAGCAAATATGACAAGTATTTCATAGCCTAATAGACAATGAAAATAGGTTGTTAGCTTACATTTTATATACAGCAGATTTGTCATAGCATTAACTAGAAGACAGCCACAAAATTTTTTTCCTGAGAATCTTTTCCAATTTCCAGATATCTACTATTATTTCCAGTACTCTTCCAGTTCTAGAGAAGGTGGTGAAAATTGCAATGCTCAGTTCAGACCAAGAACCTTAGAGCATAAGTAACAAGAGGCAGCATGAAGATCAGAGTCTAAGAGTTGCTCTTTGCTTAACTTCCTGATTTCTTCAACTCCTTTCAGAAATCAGGAAGCACATGAATAAATGTGCTCCAGTATAAATAACAAGTATGAGTACAAATTCTCAAATTTGTGAATGAAGACCCTTTAAGATATTTCTCTTCAGATAAGACACTTGCAATTCTGCTTCTCAGAGAAATGTTTCAACCCGATTCAGCTAACAAACAGCTCTTCCACTGTTTCCTTTCATTAGTATGAATCTTCACTATCTGATCATGCACATAATGATTATCCACTTGACAACTATGAGAAAATGCACTTGTAGCAATAATGAGTGAAACAAGTCAATCAGCAGGCCACATACACAGACGTGATAGATCAGAAGTCAGAGGATTCCCTCTTACCTGGGTATCATACTCCTCAGTTTTCTTTTCAGAGTCATTGTATGTACCAAACTGCAATACATATAATCAAGTCAGAACTGGGGAAAAAACACTTGCTGTCCAACTCCCTAAACAGAGATTTAAACTGCAAACTGAACTGCTCAGACATTAAGCTAGGTAACAGTTCAAAGTTCTTATAAGGTTCTATACAAGAGAGTCATATAAATGTCCTGTGCAGCATGCCAAATACCGGGTAGGCAAAAAAATCCAATTTTTCCCTTCATATTTTACATCAAACACCCAGGACTTCTTTGCTTAGGAAAATGCTGTTGAGACAGCAGATTTCACAAAGCAAAAGTAAAGCCAAATGGCTAAGAATGTGGCAGATACAGGAAGCCATTATTAAAAGCCATAACCATTTTCATGCATGAAGAGGTCAGCTACAGATGATCTCCACATCTCCCGAAACTGTGACTGCTTACGCACAGCTCCTTCAATACTGACAAAGGAACAACCAGAGCTCTGAGCCACTCCAGATGCACAGACTTCAAGCAGCACAAACCCCCAGTATTTCTTGTGAAGTAAACACTGAAGATTAGACAACTGTTTCTCCTACCAACAAGGGAAACTTTCAATGTAGACTGTACTTTAAAAAATGTTAATTTGAATCCCAGCTGCCTCTGCATGTCCTGCAAGCAGTCTCAGGACTTATCTTATTTTTACCCACAGGATTTGTCAAAGAGTGTCCTGCCCCAGAGCATGTCACATCATCTGCTAGTTCCACAATGGAGAAGTTATACATACAGCTTCATGAAAAATTCAGTTTCTTACTTGAAATCATGATGCCAGTTAAGAGTGCCTTTCTAAGACAGTGGCGGAGCACAGTCCCACCTGTTAAGATTTACCAGGACTGACAGAGGAGTTCTGAAGTTTCTCACACCATAAATACACACAAATAGCTTTTTCTCCTACAGAATTCATCAAAGAAATTTGTAAATTTGAAAATGCTCATCCAGCTCTTGAATTAAGCCATCCATAAAAAGAAGATGCACATAGGAAACTTTTATAGTTTTTTTTGAATCTTCATTTCACCAAAAGCCAAGTTGCACAGTAACCTGGAAACAGATGAAAAGCTCAAGAGTGTAATCACTAACAGGCTGTCTGCTATACTATACCTGAATTTTGGGTCTCAAGCCTTGCCACTTGATTGTCATTTTCAAAGCTTTCTTCACTTTCCAGAGCTGTGATTAGCAAAAACAAAACGTGCACATAAAGAATTATCCGAAAGAATGTCTTATGCAGGATTCAGATACTCAGTATGAAGATCCCAGAATATCTATTTTAAGCACCCACTGCGTAAGGCAGCTACAGCATGACTGCAGCACACCACCTGCGTTTCTACACAAATCAACCGCTGTGTCACCAGACAAGTACAATATTGGGAACATGCGCTAATAAGCCCCCAAATCAAATGATGTACTTTAGGTGAAATACTGTACTCCTTCCAGGATATCTGGATTGCAGCGCTTAGGTGGGGGTTAGGTGCTCTTAGCACCAGCATGCACCCCGGGTCAAGCATTCAGAGAATTCTCCAGTAACCACCTGCCAAGCAAGTTTTTACATGCCTTCGATGTCAGCTGGGATCTGCAAATGAAGCTGCCTCAGAACTCCTACCAGGGATTAAGTGGGCACTTACACGATCATTGCATTACAGGAGTGGGCTACAAGCAAAAGTCAGTGAACCCACTGAATTGTCCGGCTACTTACTGTACAGCTGCAACAGGCTGACCCCAATGTAACCAAAGGTTCAGTGCACCTGAAAACCTACTCATGCACCCACTGTGCTGTAGAGATTCAACAACTTAGGCAATGCAGTAAGTTTAGCAGGAGAGCTACGCTCCATGAAGCTTTCTGTGGACAAGGTTTGTTTGTTTAACTTCAGATACATCAGTATTCTCTTCTCACCCACCATATCTTCCCAACTAAAAAGTGCAATATGGTAAAGATGATCCTTTACTGTCATCTTTGATGCAAGTGCAAAAGTTACTTATTACAGAAGCAATGTCACTATTAGTACTGCATGAGAAACAGGTGCTCAAGAACAAACTGTGAAAGAGCTATTCCTAGCAAATGCCTTTGAGATGTCTAGTCCTTATGTTCGCTCTCACCTTGAGACAACCATGTTATCTCACCATGACGTGAGAGGAGAGATATGTTACTTCAACAGAACATTTCCCCTTCATTTAAGTGTCCCACACAGTGTTCCTATATTATCCTTTCAAGCCAGTTCCCCCAGCTTGCAATCCAAAAGCACCATACTGGAAAACAAGGCACATGAGAAAGATGATAGGAACCAAACACTCATAGGGACTACAGATCTGAGAGAGATGTATTTAACGGATCTCTGGGCAGCTCCAAGAAGAATCTCAGACAGGCACAACAACCAAATGAGATCTGGATCTGCCGGTTCTTAGGTAGCGGCAACTGAAAAATCCATCTTCATCATAAAAGACAAATGTAAAGTCTTAACAGTTTTAATTGAACTTAAATACTGCAGCATAGCTGATCGTTCCTGTTATCCTAACATACATGCCTGATCTGGTTTCCACTAAAACTTCTTAAAAAAAACCCCACAAACAAGTGGTTTAGAGACCAGGGCTATTTATTCTTCTCCACTAGAAACAAACAAAGCTATAATTTTTCTTGACCCAATAGATTTTTAAATCATTTGACGCTTTTCAACTTCTGAAGTCTTCAGATTCAAGGATTTTTTAAAATTTAGTTGTTTAGATATAGGATCATTCTACAAAGGAGAAGCATATTTATAGGGATATATATTTATCCCTGAAACTGTTAAAATTTCAGACAGCTAAAGAAAGTTTGAAATATAAGACTAAATTTCTACTTATAGGAACAAATCCTGAACTGTTTTATTTCCACAGGGATTATCTGCAACTAGAACAGATGTGTAGCCAAAATTTCACGAGAGTCCTGAACTTATTTTTAAATACTGAGAAGTAATTAGATCCGCAAGCAACAATAGGTAGAGAGATCTCCCCTTCCATTGCTGCCGACTTGGTGCTTTCCCACACACAAGGCAGGCTTCTAAGCAGTACCGGCAACCCACTGACTGGACATGGTCTGCTGGAATAACGAACACAGCCAGCAGTCTCCTCCTTCCCCGAGCACCTCAGTCACGGCCGGGGAGAAAGGTGCAGACCTGCAGCACTGTCTGACAGCACGGCACGCAGCCTGCTCCTTGACAAGTGCTTCCGTGAAGCTTTGTTGACATGGTTACACATGCCTGGTCAGGAGCGATGCCTATCAGATGGTGTGATAGGAAGGAACCTCAGCACAGCTCTATGTTTGGTTTCCACAATACCAGCTGGCCCATCCCAGAAGAACCTGATACTTGCAGTTCAGTTATGTGATAAAGGGACACAATCTCCTTTACCACTGAAGGCTGGTTAAACAACGCTGCTAAGGCAGCATAACTAAGCAGTACTTTTCCAGGAACTAGTTTAGCATTCTTTTTCTACAAGAAACTGTGGATGTTGCTGCAAATACTGGTATTTGGTTCTAGAGCTTTAAGAACTCACCTCGATCACTGCACCAATGCCTGCTGGGATCAGCACCAATAAACTTGTTTGTTCATCCAAAAGGAAAAGAAATATTACCACAGTACTAAAGCACCGCCAAAGCACTGGATAGAAAAAATGAAAATGAAAGGCTTATTAATATTTAAATGAACAGCTGAGATGACAGAAGACTGTTGGCCTATTTACTATAATTCTGTATTATGCAGTTTAAGCATGAACTTCTATACATATCTTGATATATCAAGTAGTCCTAGAAACAGTCAGTGATCTGTATACTTCCAGGCAAATAAGGAACAACAACATTTTATGAAATCATTATCACAAAAGATGAAAGGACATCAGAATATCCAAGGAAGACTTCTGTACTGCAGCAATTCAGCAATGTACCAGTACTATTAGGAACTACGTTCATGATTCTTGTTTCAAGGAAGCTAAAAGGCTGTGAGGTAATGTAATGCTGGTCTTTAAAACCCATGCAACTAATTTTATGTTTGCAAATGTTAAGTAGTGTATTTTAGGGTTATTTTTCAGGTTTTGCAAATCCTTGGATGATTACAAGTGTCTACCAACTAATTCTTAGATTCAGATATCCATCCTCTTAAGCAGAGACAGAAAGAGAGAAGAGCTACAACACACTCAGACATCAACATTTACACCTTTCCATTCCAGAGCAATTGCCTGTCCAACTTCTCCCTCAGGGCAAGAAGGAGATACAGGCAGAAAGGTGACTAAGGCTTGCTAAGAGAGGATGGAACTATCAATTACTGGAGACTGAAGATTGATACTTTGACAGTAAGGTTAAAAAATCTTTGTCACTCAGTCTTTCCAATTTGACTTTACTCACTTTTTAAACTGGCAATTAACACTTAACCCTGAAATTCCAGGGACCGTTTTGAATTTTTACTAACTTCTTGGCACACACATGTCAATAGCAGTATAAATGCCTTATGAAAACAAATGCACTCCAGTAAAGATAATAAACAGATTCTCCACATGAGAAAAACACATTGCCGTTCATCGTAATTTAGAAAGTCTCATTTTTTTCCTGGCATTGATATTCCTCACATGTTTTAATCAATCTGTAAATACGATAGACTTAGGGATAGTCTCAGAGGTCAAGTGACTACAGATTTATCATTTTGGTTTATAATCAGAATGGAAAAATCTATTAGAAAAACGAGCAGTAAGTATTAGCACAATAAACAAGGCTGGGGAGTGGTGTGTTAAACCTTCATCTGTCTCTGGAAAGGCTTGACAAGACGTCAGACCACTATGTTTTTCTCATCTTTCCAACACCCAAGTCAATTCAACCCTCCTGTGCTCTTCCCCCACCCGCTCCCACTGCCCATGTTTACACCAAAGCCTAAATCAAACAACAGCGTTACACTACAGCGTTTTTCCACCTAAATATTTCGGAACATGTAGTTATCTACAAGGAACACATGGGACTCGCAGAAAAGCATTATCCATGGCAGCACATTCTCTCCACCCACAGGACTTTTTCTGTTCCTCATTCTTTCCTCAAAGTATTTTTCTGTTCCTTCAGCAAAGGAAATGTGGGGACTGACTTAGTATTAAATTTATTCTCATTAAGACAGTCAAACCTCAGAAGTGACACGAGTGCTTAAAAGTAAGTGATACTTGAGCACAATGCTAAGAAAGTTAGAACCAGCCTGTAAGCCATCTTCTTTTCATACACAAACACATCTCATTTTGCCATCTTGGTGAATCTACAAAGTTTTAACTTAAAAGTAAGACTAAAAATGCACAGTATATATTAGATAGTACAAGGACAACATCTTGCATTCTGGCCCTTACCTGCTTTTGTAGACATCCCAATCATGCTCCTCTTTTTCTTCCAGAAACTGATGTCATTTTTGAATGCAAGGAAATCAAAGAGAAGCTGCAAATAGCAAGAAATACACTTGTTTGTTCAAACGCGCACTAGCTGAAGACTACCAGCTGAACTGTTAAAAATGCATTAAGATAGAATTGCAAGAAAACCCTGTTTTAGAAGCCTTAGAAATAAACATTAAATGCTATAAATAAAAGCTAAAAATGGCTTTAGAAGGCCAAGCTCCAAAAGCAGTGCAAAACAACAGGAGGAATTCCGGGTACTGGCACTACTACAATGCTGCATCTGGTAAAGAAAGTTAATGATCCAATACAGGGTAACACATGATAGAGGATGAAGAACTGAGGACCCTGAGGAATTGCTCACCTCCTTCACAGACCAGGGAAAGTCACACTAAATTAGATTCAATGTAGGCTTGGATAGTACCAAAGTTTTTCAAAAATTCCTAAAATACAGCCAGTCCTTTTCTCGTCTATTTCATCACCAAGAAGCTGATCTCAATCTCAAGGACGTTTTAACATTAAATTTATCTGTACTGACTATTTTTTCCAGTATTTTCAGCATTTTTGTTCAGAATAGAATAGAACAGAATAGAATATTTCAGTTGGAAGGGACCTAAAACAATCATCTAGTCCAACTGCCTGACCAATTCAGGGCTGACATAAAGTTAAAGCATGGTATCAAGGGCATTGTCCAAACGGCTCTTAAACATTGACAGGCTTGGGACATCGACCACCTCTCTAGGAAGCCTGTTCCACTGTTTGACCACCATCTTGGTAAAGAAATGCTTCCTCACATCCAGTCTAAATCTCCCCTGGCGCAGCTTTGAACCATTCCCAGGAGTCCTGTCGCTGAATCCCAGGACGAAGAGCTCAGCATGTCCCTCTCTACTCCCCCTCTTCAGGGAGCTGTAGAGAGCAATGAAGTCGCCCCTCAGCCTCCTTTTCTCAACACCAGACAAGCCCAAAGTCCTCACCTGCTCCTCACAGGACATGCCCTCCAGCCCTTTCACCAGCTTTGTTGCCCTCCTCTGGGTGCACTCAAGGACCTTCACAGCCTTCTTAAATTGTGGGGCCCAGAACTGCACAGTACTCAAGGTGAGGCTGCACCAGTGCTAAATACAGCGAGATAATCACCTCTTTTCACCAGTGGGTTATACTGTCCTTAATGGACCCCAGAACATGGTCTGCCCTTTTGGCCGCCAGGATATTTTTCAGTATTTCCTTCAAGCATTCACTGTCTTAAAAAGAAGCATTACAGATTCAAGAAATTCTTGGGTCAGAGAATTTTAATGAAAAAGTGTATTTTTTTTCAATTTGGGCAAATGATACACAAAAGAAAACACATGAGAAGAGCAAGTCCCAGTCAACAGATACCTTACAACCTAATTAACGGAATGGGAAAAAAATAAATTAAAATGGCTGGGAAGTTCAAAGGTTTACAGGCAATTTAATTGTATGTAATGTAAGTATAAAAACCCCCAAGTTCTTATCTATCTCAGAATATGGAAATTATATGAAGTATAATTATAGGGGACAAAAATGTTCCAAGTAGAACGATGAAGTCTAAAAATAAAATGTTAATTAACAAATGTTAATGTTATTTAAACCAAGACACACATAATGCTGACAGAGAGACACAACAACCAACCATGCCTAGAGACACAAGCTCTGCACTTTACAGTGACAATTTTTTTTAAATAATCTACATCAGCTGATCTAAATTTCTCCAGAAGTTATAAGTCAGGGCTCAAACCCCACTGTTGGTGCCCGAGCTATGCCACTGCAGCAGTAAACTTTGTGATAATTCAGCTTAGCAGAAAATGTGAACCAAAGTTGAAAGGCATATTAATTCTGGGTGCTTTGGTCGAGCTAAAAAAAAAGTTATGACATTGAAGTTAAATGTTTGATATTTCAGCCAAGACTGTTTAGCTTATATCTAGTTATCTCATGTTTCTATCTTCTTCGAGATTTTTGTATTCACTTGGTATTGGAAATATATTGACATGTACCAGAAATCTCTTCTATTGCTCTACCGAAATTAATATTTTCAAGAACAGATCTCAGTAAATGAGATAAAACTCAATAGAAGAGTTGAACTTCAACGCACCCTCACCCTCCCCTTTTTTTTTTTAATATGCTGTAATTCCTAAAAACCAAAGTTTCTTCACTTACGTGGAATGCTGCTACAAAGAATGTCAAAGCCAGAAAGTACAGGTTAGTATCAACAAAAATTCCTTTTACTTCATCTGCGTCCTTTTCTGAAAACCCTAAGAGAAAGAACAAGTAATTATGCAAGAAGTACTAGACAGTTAATTGCTGTTATGCTAGAGTCCAGTATGAAAGGAATCTTATTTCACCTGCACGTTTTATTGAGGAATCATAAATCCAAAACAGGATATCAGCTTTATTGGTAAAACCCAAGTCTATCTATATTTTGGCTAGTTATGTGGCTTGCCTTAATAACAAAACCCATCAGTTACAAGCAGACTGATGTGCCTTTAACGTGTTGTGTAACTACAACCCAAGCTGAACACCAGAGGCACAGATGGCAAGACACAGGAAGTCATTCTGGCCTGAGTGGGGAAAAAGGATTATTCAACTTGGCCTCTGAGCTTTTATTTGATACGTAAGAAAAGTAAGCTTCACATTAAAAACAGAAAGGAGACAAAGGGCTACACTGTGGAAGACAACAAAGGTCAGTGGGAAACACGGTCATATACACAACAGTATAGACCCCAGATCTTGGATTAGACATCAACGCTTTTGACAGTCCTAGCAGAATTAACTTGGAAGCTTCTCTTTGATAAATGGAAAAAAGGCAAAGCATCTTCCAGAAATCACAAACTGTAAGCTGAACACATATTATCTACTGTCTTATCAAATCTCCTAAAGGAGGAATGATGTTTTCTTGTTATATACTGGACAACCATTAATTCAAAAATAAGTTAGAGCCTGTCCATGATAAATATGGTTGCCAGCACCAAAGAGTGTCTTTTCCAGAAGATATAGCATCTCTTTGCACTCCTTCAGCCAGCGTTAAGATGCCTTCTTCACAAAGTAGAAAGTTCCAGCCCCTGTGATTGAAGTCTACTGCTTTCAGAAAACACACAATGCTGCATTTACGGCAATGGTGCTAGTTATGGCACTGCTGAGTTCAGTACCAGTTTACTTTGTCATATCAGCTCTCCTGCATCACAACAAGAAGAGTGTGAACCTGCCCATTTTCAAGTGATTTTATAGTTTTGCTGCTGATCTAAGGTGACCTTTCATAAGTTATTCCAAAAGAAAAATGTTAAACTTTACTTTTCACTATCTGAATACTTATAGTGAACAAGCAGGATCTTAGGTAAGCTTTTTTTCCAGGCAGAGGAGGTACTCCTAGGATGACAGGTCTTGATACACGTGTCCATCACAAGACAGCGAAGACATGGAACATGATAATTTAAATTATGCAGTTCTAAGCAGGATCACAAAAATTTATGGAGAAATGATGATGATCAAATGCCCCACACAAATTCTGAGCAAGCAGTTACCTGATTCTTTCAAGCCAGTTATTTTAAGCAGACACATTTGCAGCTTTGCTGTACATTAGCCTGAGCTAAAGAGAAGCAGCTGGATTCTACTTAGGATGACCATATTCCTTACCCGCCCTCCCTCCCTCAACAAAACATGAGAAAAGCATAAGCTGCAAAAGAAAGGAGAAAGTCCAGACTCTCAGTTAAGTTATACTGTATACAGGTACTGTGTCTTACAAAACTACACTCTGAAACTAGTGCTGAACCACAACAGATTTTTTATTTTTCCAGAGGAATCAATGCCTTAAATGTTAAGTTGTCCATCATAAAATATTAACTCAGAGATGACAGCGAATAACCAAATCCTCTCCCTCTTACTGATTAAATTTTGGTGAACGAAGAACACGACTAAGTAGTATGGAAACAGCATTACCCCTGCACATGTCTCTTGGGAAACTGATAGAATACTGCATCTATATGCATTAGAAAAAAAGATAAACTGGGAAGGATTTAAAAATCATTAAAAAACACAGCACAGAAGCTTTTAAGATCTCTTCGCCTGAAAAAAAGTTCAAATTGCTGCCTGAAGAGCTTAAAAAAAGAGGATAAGAAAAAACCCTACATTCAGATACATCAACACCAGCTCACTTATGATGTAGTTCTACGCTATACTTCTAAAGAAGCCAACCATAGTCTCGTGAGAGAAAAATTAAGTCAGCAAAGATAACCCTGAAAATAAGATGCGGATTTTTAAGAGTGATGATTAGACTCACAAAGATGTGCATCAGTGGAACAAACACGTAAAGACAGAAAAAGCTTGGCTGTGCCATGACCATCACAGAGCATATGAACTTCACAGTGAAAGTGGACGCTTGCCCCATTACATTTAAGCGAAACACAGAATTTAATAGTCTCATGCATGTAAAAACTCCAGTTTATCTGAATTGCCTTATAAATTTGTAACTGAGCCAAAGTGAGAGGCCAGACAGCTCTGAAGTGTCAGAAGCAGTATGATCAGAACCCAGACTCCTCCTTCGTGCTCAGCTTGATCCCAAAGACTTTGCTGTGCTTACCAGTATTTCACTGTAGGAATATAGCTACAGTGACCAGCTATACATAAGTTATATCAAAGCTAATGTAACATTGATCCAGCTTTTCTGTTCCACGGATGACAGAGGAAACCTGTGGCAAAAATTCTCTCCTCTATTTTGGCCTCTTATGCTTTTACAGTAGTACTATCCAAATAATATTTATTTTAAAAACGGTTAATTCACCTCTGTATTCTTGTTTCCTACCACATGTCAACATTTTATTTCCATCTTTACCTTACGGTAAAACAGCGTAAGATTTGTAGCATTAAATCTTTTCACCAGCTAACCAGAAAAAAAAAAGACAGGTCAAGCGTCATCTATGCACCCACAAGAAAAAAAATTTAGGAGTTTTGTTTGTTTGTTTTTTTGTCTAAAGTCATTAAAAACAAAAAACATACCAAATTGTTGGAGGGAGTACACAGCATCCTGCATGTGGATCCAAAACCGGAGTTTTCCAAGAGATATTTTGTCATATGACACTGTCAGAGGTAGCTCTGTTGTTGAACGATTTATAACCTGTATTTCAAAAGGATATAGTTTCATTTTTAATAGCAGGAAAATTGCAACAATTATTTCCATTCATTTTTTTGAAAAGAAAGGAAAGTGATTATACTACATTATGATTTAATCACACAATTCTAAGAGGACAGTTTGGTTTTTGAAGAGGAACAAGATCTTCGACTTTTATACTATGCTTGAAGACTTTATTTTTTTTCCAAAAAATGCTAAATTAGCAGTTTGTTCTGTTCAAGTTCTTATAGCAACCTCACTGCTACTATATACAAATGCCTCTGAGACATTTACATAAAGTTCCCTCTGCTGATCTCAGCTCAAGTGGGAAAAGTGTGCTTAAGGTAATTATCTCTTTTGACAGTTATATATATGCTTCAGATTACTTAAACTAGAAGATTAAAAAAAAAAAGAAGAAAAAATCATATCCCAAAGGCCACAGTCAGCACTTTACTAAATAGAGGCTGGTTTTGAGAGAAATCATTTCACAATTCATACCAAAACAAAAGGTGGGGAAGCAAGATGATGCTACTTGCTCAGACTGGTGAAAACACCACAGCTAAAGCTAAGCAAGCTACCCTGCCTGCAAACTTTGGGATATGGGGTATCACATAAATCTTCTTCCTGCTCCAAGAGAAGTAAATTTCAGCTAATCCTATGGTATCATCTACAGTTTAATTATGATTAGAAGTACGTGGGGCCCCCTTCAACTGGGTAAAAAAACCCCACAAGAGTCTCAAATTGCCTCAGCTCCTTCTGCACGACAGTCTCTCAAACAGGTTTAAAACAAAGAAAAAAAAAATGTCCTCACAGAAGTTAGAATTCTCTTCAGCTACCTAGGTAAAAGTTCAGGCAGTATGTTTTCAACTTGCAAAGACAGCTCAAGACTACAGACAGGCAGGCACTCTGAATTGCAACAGTTCCAGATCTATTGCTCCCAGCTCCTAACTACTACCCAACCACAACTCCCACCTCAGAACTGCGACCCTACACTGTATCTCTGTCTACACTAATTAGTTAGCTGACACCTATCTCAGATGAATGGGCTTCTTATGATTCTATGTTACAGAACATGGTTTTAGCCTCCCTACGTATCAGCCAGGTGTGAACTGGGGACTACGTTCACTCTCCCATTTGCTCTTTCCTCCAGCAAGTACAAACAATTCTCCATCTCACCACCCTTCCATGCTCTATAAGCTTTTCAGACAGTGGCAGAGTATGCATGCACGCAATGGACAGAAAGGGAAACTGAGAAAGTTTTATAAATAAAGCAGGGAGAAAGCTTGAGAAACTAGAATGGTGCCAGAGATCTTGCAACTGTCTAGAAAACAAAACAAAACAAAACAAGGTGAAATCAACGTGGTTAGAGCTGACTGTAGAGAATGCTGGTGAGGTTCTACAGCTGTTTACCCAAAGCTACATAAACATCTTCCAGGCTTCTTCTCCTTTTTAAAGGATGCCTGTAATCCCTCCATTCTGATTCCAATTTCTCAGTCTATCAAAGATAGCATCAATATTTCTGGGAGAAAAATAAAAGAAATTTTATCTGTGCAGGACAGACAGAAAACAAAAGCTTTGCAAATGCATGGGCAAGTGACATGCAGCAAGTACACTCTACACAGACAAGGCACTACTAAGGAGTTAGGGGTAGCAGAGGGAGAAAATCAGATTGCAATATAAGACAGAGATAGGAATTCTTCAACGTCAAAAGCAAATTAAGTGAACATATAAAAATTAGAAGAATAAACTCTTTCTCAGTGGACAATTTGAAGTCCACAAGTGCTGCCTCAGAACCTATAGTGGAGTGTAATGGTTGCTAAGCCTTTGAAAACTAGGAAGTTACCAAACCTCTGCAATACAACCTACTCTTGTAGTACGGCCTCGGAACATCACATATTACTTCTAGCACTCTATCAGTACCACAAAACAGTGCATAAACAAAGCAAATAAGTTCAGTGGTATGAATTTTAGTGTTTCCTCTTTATTAAATCAGAATCCTGTGCAATCCTCAAACCCCCAGCATTGGCAAGAATGTTTAAGAACATGAGGAACACCTAATCTTCAGACTACAGTACATACCACAGAAGACCTACCCCTATCTGGGTCAAAATAATAGTCAGTTCAAAAATCTACACAGCCTCGCACAAGCAGGGAAAACACATCTTCAGCTCCATGACTTTCGGCTGGGCATAACTAATAGACAGCACCTATGCCCCTATTTACAGTCAAAGGCCAATCTTGCTCCACAAAAGCTGTATCATCTTCTTCCCTTATTCTTTCCTGCTCTTCGCTTACCCCTCGTTACCTCACAGTACACAATCAGACCATTCCTTCTGCAGGGCTTGCCAGCAGTTTGGGAAGTCACTACTGAGAAGTCACATAAGCCAGTGCTGAAGGGGAAGTTTGCTACTTTTGGTGGAACAGTCTTTGCAGCCCTTCTCAGGATCTTTAACGACTTTAAGGCAGAGAGTTACAACAGCATTAACTGGGACATGCATGACAACTGCAGGAATGTTATTAAAAACACCAGAACACTGAGTTTATTTGTAAACAATGTAAATTACTTGAGCAGTTGGAAGCTCATATGAATGTACTGAACTGAATGAGCTATGGTAAGAAACTTAAAACCAAGGGCAATGACCACTAACAAAGACATCACAAAAGTGTATCTAAAGAAACACTGGACAAAACTATCTGCTACCAAGATTTGTAAAAATGCTCAGGAGTTTATCTTGCCAAACAAGCTTGGGGTGTGTGTGGGGTGGATACAAGTTCTTAAAGAAGATTCTCCCCAACACTAAGTAACAGAATTCTTTGTCTGAGCTACAGTTAATGAATTGGAAAAACAATTTAGAAGGTCTACGGAAAGTTTACATCTACTAAGACTTTCATCTAGAAGATGCTGAATCCAAACATACTTGTCTAACAGTTTTGAGATATTCCCCAAGACTTTTGCTGTTAGAAACTCCGATTGCTAAGTTCCAGTCAGCACAGGAAGAACTGCAGGGCTTAACTAAGAGCTGCTAAGATGAACATAGTTTAGATGCAAGGGACGGACTGCCACATGAAACTTGTAGTAAATGAACTGCATGATTTCCCACAAGCAAAGAGCTGGGCAAAAAACGAATACAGAAAATTCTATTTAAATGTATGAAAATACCTTTTTTTAACCGCAGGGGTGACTGAACACTTGAACAGGTTGCCCAGAGAGGTTATGGTGTCTCCACGCTTGGATATATCCAACTAGAGAAGGTTCTGAGCAACCCGCTCTAGGTGACCCTACTCTGAGCAGCAGTGTAGGACTAGCAACCTCCGGAGATCTCATCCGACTTCATCCTTTTGTAATTCCCTTTTTGAAGTTTCTAAGCCCTGATTTGTTTGAGTGCATAAAATCATTGGAGGTACTGCAAAGCCAAACTTTCAGGTGCTCAAGTTAATCTAACATGACAGAGAGCACCACCAGAACATTTAACCACGAGTGAATTTTTCGGAGATAAGAGAACAGCATGTCAGTAGCTTAGCTCCAGTATCAGCTGTGTTCAGTATGGTCATTTCCCTAGAAGATATCAGAAGCAGCTCTGGGATGCTGGCACAACTTCTTCAGCTTAGGGAGTCAAATGGCTCATGAGACTGCTCCCAGCACAGCTGCTGCTGTAGTGATGTCCTCCATATTTACCCAAAAGGCAGAAGCAATAGAATCCAAGTATCTTTTAGTGGAATAGATGGGAGTGCTTGGCAGAGACTTCTGCCAGAGGGGAGCCTCAAAACCCAGACCCAGCCTCTGCAATTACCACAGTTGACCACATTAAGTTAAACAGTCATTGAGAGTTCTTTTGTAAATGTATACTTTTTCAAACAATTTATGACAAAATCTTAATTAAAATAACATTGAAGATTATTGTTAAAACTGTTAAATGTAATTAAAGGTATTCTATTACTCACCATCAAATCTTTCACTCTGTTGCTTAGCTGATCAATAAATAATATTGGAAGGTAATGCACTGTCTTCCCCAACTGAACCCTAGGATGTTTAAACATGGATTTTATGACTGTAGTGATCTAAAAAGAAAACTACTTTTATTCAAATTAGCACTCATTCACCACTTTCAGATCTACCCATGTAGATATTTCCCACCACCTTTTCAGGCACATTTTCCTGTAACACACAGCAAGAAAAAAGCAACTAGCCTAGAGTCTTTCACAGAGAGATGTCTGTATAAAAAATGAGGTATGTCATATTTATCTTTTTAGTTGTTTTTTACTTTTCTGTGGAAAGACAGAATAAGCAGAAAAAAAAATACAAATGACATTGGCTGTGATGATGCTGAAGTTGTTGCATGACCAAGGGTAGAGGAAATTAAAAGTTCATTGAAGAGAAACATGCTAAAGTTTACTACCATATATTTGCATCCTTTGTCTCAAGTATCCCCCTCCTACTGCAACAATGACAAGTCTCCACCATCTCCCCGGCTCCTCTGCACCCCCCATGACATCCATCAGGTCCAGCAACAGCACGTGCTCTAGCTAGCATGGGACTAGGAACACGCTGGCTGGTACGCACACCGGAAGGCTAGATACTACTGGAGAGAATGCACAAGGAGCAGAAATCTTCTCTGCCTCCTCAACAGAAGCACTCATTTGGATCGCTCTGCCACCTCACCAACCTGCAGGACACCAAAAGAAATTTACCAGCCTCTCAGTCCTCCACAGAATTGACCACTGGAAAGTTATTTAGCAAATTATGAACTATTCGTAAATGCTTTGCCATTATCTTAGAAAATTATTTAGCCTAATCCCCCAAGAGAGACAAGTTCTTAAAGCTCTTCACTAGAAAGGCAGTTACCTGCACTGTGATGTTTTCGGTAAAAGTCTATGGAATTAGCGTAATGGAGCTTTTTAAGGCCTGAAAGTTGAATTTTAGTTGTTGAAAAAAGAGGTCTTCATGCATGCTAAGAAAGACTGCATACTAAATACGCGACAGGCAACAGTAATATAGAGAAGTACTAAACTAAGGCTCAGAAATAGTTTGGTTATTTAACTGAAGAGGTTTAGATTTTTATATAATAACTACAACTAAAGCTACTGCTAGTGGAATTGCAGCAGGCTATTTCATATCCAAACTATTTCCTGTATAATACAATGACAAAACAGCACTGCTGCGTTATCTAAACATGACGAGAAAAAGTATCCTCCTTCATCAACCCCAGTCACATCCCTTCTTGTTATGTGTCTATTTTATGAGTTGCTAAGTTTATCTATTCTGGCCGGGAAGCTATCCCAGAACCCCAGGGTCTGCTGATTAAGCAACTACTTCTGGATTTAACAGGATACTTGTAGAGAAAGGCATCAACATACAGCAGCACAAGCCAATACAGCACTATTTATATGGTTAACATTGGAAGTAATTTAAGCAAGCTGCAAACAGAAGCCTGCATTTAGTGGCCTAAAAACCTATCCTTGCTTTTTAGTATTTTCTTGAGAAAATAACATAATGTAGGAAGACACATTGTCAAAGTAAAATAAAGTCAATCATAAAGGGAGAAAAAAGATGTCACAGGAAATCAGCTGTGCCTCTTCAGCACTTGCAGTTTGTACAGATAATTTTCAGATGAAGGAAAACTGGAAAGGTCAGGGACAGTAACTGCTTTGAAGGCCAGAAGTATGATTTGAGAGCAAAGGGGTATGAAGTTTGCTGTAGCATTTCACTTGTGTCTTTGTAGTTCTGCTTTGTCTTACTATGATAATGTCACACAAGAAAGTATTCTAAACTCTGAGCTGCCCAGGAACAAGGTATTTCCAATAAGGTTTTCTAGTAGGTAGTATCTTACTAACTGTTGCTACTGAAATGCAAGCATTAAGAATATCTATTCTTGTCTCCTAAGTGCCAGTTTAAACATAAAATACTAAAGGAGGCCTGGGAGGGTTTTTGAAGAAATGCGCGGTAAGTTTATAATAACAAATCTAGGAAAATTAAGTAATCAACTTACATCTTCATGTAACGGTGAACATCAGCAGGGAGGGATGATCCATCAAATACAAAATCTTCCACCATGACATTTAAGGTTAATCTTGACCTCCAGTGAGAGACAGGTTCATCTAGAGCATTGGTCTGTTTTTCCGCTTCAATTTGCTTTAAAAATAGAACAAACATACATACTGCTAAATAACACAGAATTTTGAATAGGATAACACCCTAACTCACAGAAACTATGGAGTCAGTAACTACATCACAAAACAGAACCCTACTAAGAAACACTTTACCTTAATTTTGACCAGATCAAGTATTTTGTTCAAGTACAACAGAACGGATTGTAAAGGCCCACCCTAATCAGACACTGAAAAACTTCAGTGCCCATTCACAGCCTTCTTCATCAAGAATGAACATTCAGCCAACTAATCTTAATCCCTTAGCAATGTGGGTACCAGTCGGAAAAAGCCATTTCATAATAAGGACTGTAGAGTAATCAGATATTACTTAAAAACAGTCAAAAGGATAAGGATGACCAATCATATTAATTTTTGGGAGTAAAAAGATCAGACCATTTGTTTTGAACTTCTGAGCTTCCAAATGCTGTGTAAAGCAGTGCTGAAATTGAGCAGGACCTTAGCTTTCAATCAATGCTTAATAGCAGCCAGTGTTATAGGGGGCTCTAGCTCTGCTGTGCTGAGTAGTCTACTATTGGTGTACAAGCTGATAATCAAGAAGAAAGGGTTTAGTTTGGTTTTTTGTTGTGGTTTTTTTTTTTAATATCATCATTAGTGTAATGACGCATGCAGAGCAGATGCTAACACTAGAAGTATCTATAAAAGAATTTTTTTTTGCAGTTGTTCATCTATAAATAGAAAAACCACCTACCTGTGTGGCTGATTCTCCTGTGAGCAAATTAATTTCTTCTGGTTTAGGGACCATATATGTGGTCAGAGGGCTTACTATATGCACCTGCTTACCATCATGCCAAGGCAAAATGCCGGCATGATGAAGAAATATATAGGCATATAACGTGCCATTATTTCGGGTTTTCTTTGGTACAGAGACATTCACTGTCCTAAAATATAAAATAAATACACTGTTAGATGACATAGCACATACTGAAATATTTAGCTATTATACATAAGGATCACTGAAGACGTTCTGGAAGCAAGTGAAAAAAGGTTAGGGACATAAAAAAGAAAAAGAAGAAACATTTGGGTTGCCTGGCACAGAACAAGTAGTTCTGGCTAATATGCCCTAATAAACCGTGGCTGGATGGGATCAATTTATGCACTCCAGTACATATCACAATATTTGCATTTCCAAAGTTTTACTGTTGTCTTAACATACTCTAATCTTTGTTCAATTCAAACCATATTACCCCAGATAACACAGGACTGCGTAATCAGCAATCTTGTTGTTTTCCCCTGCCAACAGGTCGTAGGGTCAAAATTATCACAGCCCTTGCACAAAATAGCCTTCTGTGTGCTGAGCACGTACCACAGATAGTATACACGATAGAAAGTTCAAAAAGAAAAATCACAGTTTTGCCAAGCACTTTGCATTAATAAAACATCTCCTCAGCTGTGGCACGCCAAGCACAGAACTCTAGATAGGAGCCTCAGATACATGAAGTCACTCCCCTTGTGTTGGCCAAAAATCACCCGACTTGCAACCTTGCATAATGCCTCCTCTATTCCTGTAGGCTTGCTCAGGTTATTTTGCTCTGAATAATTTCGATGGCTTAGCAGACTATGTCAGTAAACCAATTCTTACACGTTCAGCTCTGCCAGAGATTAAATTTAATATGACCTAAACTGCAGACCAACGTGTTCTTTAATTATAGAAAACACAGAATGTGAAAGAACCTGGGGGACCCTGTGACAAAAGAGTCAAGAATAAGGTGACTATTTTGAACAAAAAAAAAAAGTGAGACAGCAAATACGAAGAACAAAAGTAGTTCTAATCATTTTAATTGTATAGAGACATAGGCAGAATGCAGTGTTATACTCAAAAATTTGTTTAGGGCACGATCTCCATCTTAGCACCAACAACCCTTCAGCAGATCCTGGAACCCTGAACCACCAGAAAAAGAAGGTTTATTTTTATGATTATTAGCATTGAAACAGTTATAGAAAAGCATGTTGCTAAACTGCAGGAAAGGAGAACACAGTCTGACTTCCAAGTTCTATTCCAGGTGTGAAGCCACAGCTATTAAGCTATTAGCTATGTAGCTAGTAGGCTAGCAACACATGTTACTAGATGAAAGTTTCACGCGTTTCCAGGCACTTTGACAGATTTTCACAACAGAAAGTCATTTTCACTATTATAAGCAAAGTACCCTTTTGTAGAACATTTGTCTATATGGCCGAAAACACTATGCTGATCCAAACTAACCAATACTAAAGCTTAGCAAATCACACATACATTACTGATCCAGTAAAGCTAGTGAGATGGATGTTTAGAGTGGAATCTGAAAATTAAGATAGACAACCCAGGACAGCATTCAAGATTTGTAAAATCTACAGGAGAGAAACAAGCGTTTCTATCTTTACTAACATGGCTTTGTTTTGCAAGCTTTGTTTCTTGCAAGTACAAGATGATTTTCACTATAAGAACAGTTTGTCTATGAGCCTACTCCTCAGTACCCGGTGAACTTAGCACACCGTTTCCATCGAAGCAGGCCAATGGTTAATTCCTGAAATATTCTGGCAATCTTTAATTAAAGAGAAAAATACTGAGTTTATTTTATTATCAGCACTTCACCCTGAACTCCAAGGTTCAAATGCAGCTAGCGTCCTTCCTACCTTAGGATCGCAAGTATGGTTGCTACTATATGAAAACAAGCGTGAACTGAATAGCCTGTACAGCACGCAAAAACCACTTTAAACCCAAAACAAAGAATGCAAGAACAACGACTCTATTCTTTGGGCACAACCATCACGAACAGTCTACCTTACTTCACGCGCACTTCCATACATGTAACTACTAGTTAGGATACATGCTTCAGGGTTAAACAAAGAACCCGTAGCTCAGACACCACCTACCTTTCAAATTTGGACTCGATATCAAAATCCTCCACGTTCAAAACCAGGTCTACGTTGCTCTCGGCACCAATGTTTGACCGTGTGGTAGTGTAGACGCTTAACTGACATCAGAACACAGTACAGAGGCGTCAGAGTGCAGAAATATTAAACCAACGCACCGGTGCGCTCAGAGAGCTGTACGTCAGCTTCGCTCATTTCCCCAGCCACGCGAGGATCACGCACAGTGGGAAAAAAGCGTATCCAACAAGAGCCTAAGACAGCCTCCAGCCATCCCTTCCCGCTCCCGGCGGGGCAGAAACGCACCGTAACGCGGCCACCACGTGCGTTTTTACAGGATGACCCGCACTGGCAGCCCGGGACTCCA